CTCCAGGCCCACCCCCCCCAACTCTCTCAGCCCCCCCTCCCAGCAGAGGGGCTCCAGCCCTCCCAGCATCTCCAGGGCCTCCTCTGGCCCCGCTCCAACAGCTCCATGTCCTTCTGCTGGTGGTGGCCCCAGGGCTGGAGGCAGCACTGGGGGGTGTCTCCCCATAGCGGGGCAGAGGGGCAGAATCCCCCCCTGGCCCTGCTGGGGATGCAGCCCAGGGTGCTGGGGGGGGGGACTTTCTGGGCTGTGACCCCACATTTCTGGGGCGTGTGGAGCTTCTCATCCCCCAACACCCCCAGGTCCTTCTCCTGGGGGCTGCTCTCCAACCATTCTCCACCCAGTTTGGGATTTGTGCTGGGAATTACCCCCACCCAGGGGCAGGACCTTGCACTTGACCTTGGATCAGAGCCTGAGCATCATTCCCAGGATGGGAGGGTCAGCGGGGAGGGCTTTTTTACCCATTTTGGGGAAACTGAGGCACGAGCAGCGATGCCTTCAAAAGGCAGAGCCGGGCAGGGAACCCCTTCCTGGCATCCCCCCCCCCCTATTTTGGCAAGCACCATTCTCCACCCAGTTTGGGATTTGTGCTGGGAATTGCCCCCACCCAGGGGCAAGACCTTGCACTTGACCTTGGATCAGAGCCTGAGCATCATTCCCAGGATGGGGGGGGCAGCGGGGAGGGCTTTTTTACCCATTTTGGGGAAACTGAGGCACGAGCAGGGATGCCTTCAAAAGGCAGGGCCGGGCAGGGAACCCCTTCCTGGCCTCCCCCCCCCCCTATTTTGGCAAGAATCCCCCGGGGGGAGGGAAACCTAAGGAGGGGATCAAAGCTACCCAGGGTAGGGTGGGGGGGTGATGCTCCCTGTGTCCCCCCCCCGCTTCTGGGGGCCGAGGCAGCCCCTTGCCATGCCAAGGCTGATGCCAGCTGTGTCAGCTCGGGGGGCCGTGCCAGGCTGCAGTCAGCAAAGCCCTAATCTCCCCGCCTGGGCTGGCACCTCCCCAGCCTGGCAATTAACGGGGCTGACCTCAGCTCGC